AGGGGAGGGGAAGGAAGAGGAGGGAGGAAAAGGGAGAGGAGGGGAGGGAAAAACTTAGTTCTCTCCTTCCACCATGTGCGTTCCAGGGATTGAACTCAGGTCATCAGGCTTGGAGGCAAGCACCTATACCCACTGAGCCATTTTGTAGGACTCTGAAGCCGTTTCAGGAAAACTGAAAGCATGTCAAGCAAGGTGATGAACTCTCTTGTAATCCTAGTATTAGGAGACTGAGGCAGGAGGACAGAGTTCCAGGCCAGCCTAGGCTACATAACAAGACCCTATCAGCTTGGGATATAGTTAGTGGTAGAGCTCTTGGGTTCCATCCCCAACACCACAGCACTTGGGTGTGGTCAGGCACACAAGTAATCCTAGAAATGGGGAGGTGGGAGCAGGAGGACCAGTTTAAGGCCAGCCTTGGATACAATGGAGGCCAGCCTGGGCTAAAGGAGACCTTCTCAAAACAACAAAACACAGTGGGTAAAAACATGAAAGTGAGCCATAGAGAGCAAGGACTAGGGGATCACAGGCCCCTCTCTTCAGTACAAGACCCTGTCTCAAAATAAGATAAGTAAAAATGGGGGAGGGTGGCTGGAGAGATGGCTCAGTGGTTAAGAGCACTGGCCACTCTTTCAGAGAACCTGGGTTTGGTTCCCAGCACCTACATGACAGCAAACAACCATCCATAACTCCAGTTCCAGGGGATCCAACACCCTCTTCTGGTGTCCACGGGCATCACATGATACAGGTGCACCTACCTACATGCAGGTAAAACCATAATATGCATAAAATAAATAAATCAAAATTTGTTTTTTAAATCGTGAGTGTATAAAAAAGAAAAAAAAATAGTCTGGCCAGGAGATATAGTGGACTCCAGGCCTGACCACCTGGGCTACAGAGTCTCAAAAAGCAAAAAAGAGAAAGGGATGGAGTGGGGCTTTTAATTACCTTTTGAAAAGTTCCAACATAAATCTATAATATTTATGCTGAGAAGACGCTCCAGCTGCAGAATTACCCACAAAGGGACTATGTAGGTGCCGATTGTTCAAGTGGAAGGATCCATCTAAGTGATTTAAAAGAAGTTAATATAACACTGTGTTCGTTCCAGCTCTGGCGTCTCTACTGTAATAGAAACCTGAGACATGGGCCATGGGAGAAAGCCAGTGACCCAAGAACTCACAAATGAATGCATGGTGAGCCTCCTTAAAGACTAACTGGAGTTCTTGAGTTCTATCCTCTGTACCATTGAAGACGAAACAAAAAAATCTTTGAATATAAACTCTATGCAGGGGGCTGAAGAGGTGGCTCAATCTTATAAGCACTGGCTGCTCTTGTAGAGGACCAGGATTCAAGTCCCAGCACCCACATGTTAGCTAACAACCATCTATAACTCCAGTTCCAGGGGATTCAATGCCCTTTTCTGACCTCCATGGGCATTGCATGACACAGGTGTACTTACACACATGCAGGCAATACACTCATACATATAAAATAAAAATAATAGGGGCTGGAGAGATGGCTCAGCGGTTAAGAGCACTGGCTGTTCTTGCAGAAGACCTGGGTTCAAATCCCAGCACCCACATGGCAGCTAACAACTGCCCGTAACTCCAGTTCCAGGGGATCCGACAGCCTCTTCTGTCCTCCATAGGCATTGCATGACACAGGTGCACTTACCTACATGTAGGCAAAATACACATACACATAAAAAAATAAAAATAATAAATAGTAAAAATAAATAAATAAGCCAGGCATGGTAGCGCACACCTTTAATCCCAGCACTCAGGAGGCAGAGGCAGGCAGATCTCTGTGAGCTCAAGGCCAGCCTAGTCTACATAGTGAGTTCCAGGCCAGCTGGGGCTACTGGGAGACCCTGTCTCAAAAAAGACCAATAAATATAAAATATTTTTAAAGTAAAAAAAACTATGTAAATAAGAGACAAAGACTATGAGAAGAGTTGGGAAGAACGAGCTAAGACAGAGAGGTGTGTGTGGACTCAAAAATGCCCTGACTACGGATGGGAGGAAGACCCACGTCCGGAGATGGAGAGGCCTGTTTAAATCAAGGCTGGAAGGCAGCCCCCAAGGTCATTTTCCTTTTGGAGGCCTGTTCCCCTACATTGTGACCCCTGCTTTAAGAGTTACTCCAACATGCAAATATGTTTATTCACAATCAGCAAACAAGAAAATTCTATTTTTTTGAAATGTTCTAAATGTAGAAATTTATAGACTACAGCTTTAAAAAAAAAAAAAACGTGACTTACAAATTACTTCATTTATCTGTTGTCTTTGAACTTGCATTTATTTTTATCTAGCTGAGGGTGTGGCCCAACTTTTTCTGGAGACCACCAAAATGATTGATTTTCATTAAAGATTACTTACTGGGTAATGCCAGGCATGGTGGCACAGACCTTTAATCCCAGAACTGGAGAGGCAGAGGCAGGCAGATGTCTGTGAGCTGAAGGCCAGCCTGGTCTACATAATGAGTTCTTCCAGGTCAGCTGGGGCTACAGGGAGACTCTGCCTTAAAAAGACACCCCCCCCATAAAAAAGGACTTATTGGTTAGCACAATGGCTCAGTAGGTAAAGGCACCTGCTACCAAGCTGGGTGTCCTGAATTCAATCCCTCTGACCCACACGGTGGAGAGAAACACCTGCAAGTTGTGTTCTGACTTCCACACCTCCACCATAGCATTCAACACACACACACACACACACACACACACACACACACACACACAGAGCAAATAAAGAAATGTAACATTTTTAATGACATATTGGGGTGAAACACACAATCTAAAACTTTTAGAGGGGGAGCAGTGCCTGGGATGAAATCCAGGACCTTGAGCAAGACCTTACCAATGAGTGACACTCCCAGCCCTAAAACTCACCCTAAATTTTACTTGCTTACTTACTTTTTTATTTATTTATTTTTATTTTATGTGTATGAGTGCTTTGCCTGCGTGTATGTAAGTGCACCACGTGTGTACAATGCCACATGGAGGTCAAAAGAGGTTGTCAGATGCCTTGGAGCTGAAGTTAGGAATGGCTGTTAGTTGCCATGTGGGTACTGGGAACTGAACCCAGGTCTTCTGCAAGAGTATTCAGTGCTGTTGACCACTGATCCATCTGTCCAGCTGATTGAGTGAGTGAGTGAGTGAGTGAGTGAGTGAGTGAGTGAGTGAGTGAGTGACTGACTGACTGACTGAGTGACTGAGTGACTGAGACATGGTCTCCCTGTAGCCCCTGCTGGCCTGAAACAACTCCCTATGTAGACCAGCCTGCCCTTGATCTCACAGAGATTCACCTGCCTCTGCCACTGAGGTACTGGAATTAAAGGCGCGCACCACCATGGAGAGTGATTGTACTTTTCCTTTCCAGAAAGGTAAGAAAAGAGCTCCGGAGAGTGGGAGGGGCTCTGACCTGGCCGCTTCTTTGGATCCCCACCTCGTGCTAGCTCCACCCTCCTCTCCACAAAAGATGTTTCTGTTAAGATTTTATCGAGTGGAAAGAGCTGGAAGAGCCTGGTGGTCCTGTGGGGTCCAACCCCCCCCATCATCCACTCCCCAGGTCTCCCTCTGGACGGCTCCTCCATGATCCACGGCCCAGGGCTCCAGCGCCCCCTCAGGACCGCTCCTCCTCCTCCTCCCTGTCCATCATCCATGTCCCAGGGCTCCAGCGCCCCCTCAGGACCGCTCCTCCTCCTCCTCCCTGTCCATCATCCATGTCCCAGGGCTCCAGCGCCCCCTCAGGACCGCTCCTCCTCCTCCTCCCTGTCCATCATCCATGTCCCAGGGCTCCAGCGCCCCCTCAGGACCGCTCCTCCTCCTCCTCCCTGTCCATCATCCATGTCCCAGGGCTCCAGCGCCCCCTCAGGACCGCTCCTCCTCCTCCTCCCTGTCCATCATCCATGTCCCAGGGCTCCAGCGCCCCCTCAAGACCGCTCCT